GACCGATCCCATTGAAATTTTGTGTCATAACTACTATTTTTTAGGACCTACCTTGGTGCAAATTTCATCCCGATCGGAAGACATAGATTTCAAAAGTTGGGTCACTTGAGGTGAAATGCCCCATATATATATGTATATATATATATGTAATATATATGTAATATATATTTCGCGGGGCAATATTTTGTTACTAGCTTACCGACTATTGTTTATGCATTATCCAGCCGCACAATAGCTTAGCTCTGCCCCTGTTCTAAAGTTTTCAAATAATTAAGTACCACCCTAAAACAAATGAGATGGAACTCTCCGATCGTATCGAATTGCCAATAGCACATCAATCTCGTGGAAAACGACTGCATAATTGTGCATTTATCGCAATCAAACAGTAACAGCATACAACGTCACATAAGTGGCACATATATATTTGGGTATGTGCATAGGTACATACGTATTTTCTTTCCCATTTCCATTTTAAGAGGCTTTATTTGTGTATGTAAGTGTTTTTGTAGCCTGTGTTATATAATGCAAAAACGCCTCATCGTTAAGAATAGGTGCGCCACACCAACTAGGAAACAGCGAAACATAGACTTTTTTCCAAGATTAAATTATGTTGCACCCACTAGTGTTTGAACATTGTTTAGACTCCGCTTAGATTAGTTGGACCGTGTCACGCGTGTGGAACAATACGAACAAATTTAAGTCGCTCCCAAATAAAGTTGGACAAGCGCTAACTCACATTTCCATATTTTACAAGAGAAGCAGACAACTTAAACCGTCAACGCTTGAAACGAGGCATTAAAAATTTAAAAAAATAATAATTTAGAAAAAACTTGTTTTGGAATGTATTTTTTAAAGTGATTTTCATCCGGCCGAAAATTTGTGAATTTAATGGCAAATTAAAGTTGACTATTTTTGAACGACTTTTTAATCGTCTATTCCGAAAGACTGTCAAACGTGTCTTTTGAGATGATAATGCAGAATTACTCGTTACATCATGCTTCGTATTGTGAAATAGTTTCATGATAAAGTCTTGTGGTTTTCGCGAAGGAAGAGAATAAGAATCGCCATTTTCTGCATGATGCTACTTGAAAACTTTTAACGCGTTTCCTGCAAAATAACTTTCTTTTTTATAAGTGGCAGTACTTTAGTAAATGAGGGATATGTACATTAGGCCGTATCACGATGTATGGGCCCAAAAAGAGTTCAATTTGTTCTAAGCGATTTTGTACACTCACTATAACCGTATATCGAGAGTGTAAAATTTTGTTTTCTGCACCCTGTAAAATAAGCTAAATCCTTTTTTCTATAAATTTATTATTTTTCTATTATTTACAGAACTATTACCGTGCGTCAAAACTTTGTAAGTTATGTTCATTTGTCTCAAAACGGCCACCTGTACCTGTACGCAATATTATGTATTAGAACAATAATCTCCGTGCAAAATTAAATATAACCCTTTGGCAAGAAATATAATGACCCTTTTTCATTAAACCGAAACTAACTACTAGTAATTGTGTAAATATTTAATTAAAGTAAATCTTTTCGGGGCTGAAGTAAGTTATGAAAATCGCTTGGAACAAACCCTAAACTTTTTGCAATACGATCTAATGAACTTACATATGTATACAGATGGAAAAAGTCGTTTTCGTAGACGTACATTTAAGCCAATGACATGAATTCATGATTCAATGAAATCAGGGACGTGAACCGCTATTTTCTATTAATTAACTGAACCGTTAACCGAACCGAAATATTCCACAAATGTTTGATCCGAACCGAAAACCACACCACTTTCTATAAAAATTGAAAGGTTCATTTCAACCAATTTTTAATAGATAAATGTACCCACTTTTTTTCTTTTTGGTAAACATGATAATACCTACCATGTTTGTTTACCATGTGACAATATCAAATGTAAAGGCAACCCATCTCATTCGACAGACACTTGACTCTTAAACTTGCGCGTTATTTTTTTTGTTTTTCGAACCGTTGAACCGAACCGAAACCCCGGTTCAAAGACCAAAAAACCGCTTTGACGAACCAATCCAAAAGTGCAAAAGCGGTTCGAACCGCTGAACTGAACCGACCAAATTTTTCATCCGGTTCACGTCCCTGAATGAAATACTATGAAAAACATAATTAAATACTACGTTTATGCGACAGAATTCATGTATTTTTAATTTTACGAATTCAAAAATGGCCCCGTTTATGCATAGTTCGCGAATTGATTAAGTGCTTTGAAAAAGCGGCAACGCACTAGCGAGAAAGTAAGAAGTAGACTTTTGTGTGACTTTTTTCGTCTCCTTTTGAATTTGCAAAAGCCGTTGGTACCAGGCAATGAACCATATTATATTTAAATTGGTTTTAATATATTTTCACTTTATTCTATTTAAATTTATTGTGTATTTGAACGATTCCACTAAACTTTTCCAGTGTTTTAAATCCAGGTTATGCCACCCATACTTTTTAATCTAAAAACGTAACAGCCCTAGTAAACAGCTGTTTGTGAAACGTGGCGTTGTCGGACTTGCACTTCACGATTTCATGAAATGATGACGAATTCATGGTTAACTTTCGTATGTAATTTAATTCATGAAAAAGTGTAGCAATTTTAACCCACATTCATGAAATGAATTCGTGAATTAGCCTACGCACAAGCGTAGTAACAAACGTACATATCAGGGATGTTGCGAATATTTGCATTCGCATTCGTTATGTGAATGATTCGCATCATTTCACACATTCGCATTCGACATTCGCATTCGCATCAAAAATACGAATGTTTTGCGAATGCTTATGTGTACATGGGCAGAGAGTCCACTCTAATATTGTTGAAATGGCTCTAAGTCCGTCTAGTTAAACAGGGTGCGGCAATAACCGGCTTTTAGCTTCAGACGCTAAACGGTTAAGTAGTATATCAAGCAACATTGATGGGCCTTTAACAAGTACTGCTAAAAGTCTAATAAGCAACCTAGAAACAATTTTAGATTTTTCCAGCGAAAGCGAAAGCTCGGATGTAGAATCTGGAGACTTAAAAAAATTTGAGATCAAAGCTCAATTGAAGGCCTATCTTAAAGGAAAACGACCTCACCTCGGTGAAAATCCTCTCGGGTGGTGGTTCTAAGTGAGCAATTGTTCAGTGCAGACGGCCTTGTATACGAGCCTCTAAGAAATCGCCTCATGGGAGAAAAGGCAGCAAAACTACTTTTTTGAAATATAATATGCTCCTTTTAAACTTTGACTGCTAGATTAAAACACTGTATAGCTTAAGCACTCGCTTAATGTTCTAATAATTAACACATTTTTAAGTAATAAAAACGATGACTTAAGTTGATTATAGCTTTTTTAATTTTATTCCTAACATTCGCATTCCGAAAATTCTCATTAGCGAATGTGAAAAATATGAAATTCGAAACATCCCTGGTACATACATACATATTTTTTTATTATGTAAATAAAAAGTTTACTACTGTATTGTGGCCTACACGGTCAGAATGGTTGTTTTGCGTACATTCCGCTCAACGATGAAACTAACTGTTGAGTAGACTGTGTGTGTATGCATAGAGAGCGTCAGATTGCAAGCCCTGCGTCGACGGACCCAACGAACGTTGGCCAACGCTCAACTTTTGACGCACGTTATGTATGCTTTGCACTGTCACTTTTACGTAGAAATCAAAAACCATCAGACTTCTACATATCGTCGGTGATACGGCAAAACGTTCCATGTCTGTTAGTACCCTTGACACTTAGATGGTCTCTTACTTGAACCGGAATGCATCTGCAAATCGTTACACCCTAATAAACAAATGACACAACTGTCTACCGTTGGCTGATGAAGATGAACAATTGCCAGAAGCGATCAGATACAGATAACAGATCAATTAAGCACCAGAAGTAATAAGTCACATAAAACGTTTTGTGGTATCACAGAGGATAATATGTAATGCTGTGCGTTGGGTAACAGCTAACACGCAAAGCTCATTTCACAGATTCCTCAAGTGGCAATTCTCATGCAATGCCAAGTATGCATAACTGAGGCATAAGTCCGACAATGCTGACAGTTGTATAACCTTGCGCTTATACAAGACAAGATAATTGTGAATATGTATTAATTGTCTTTGAAAAGCCAGAGACCGTGACGAAGACACCAAGAGAAGTGTGAATGTATTAGTAAAAAAGAGTGACGTTATCTATTGTACAGTGAAAGCTATTGTATCTGCAAAATTGAGTTGTGTAAGGACCAGCTGATTATTATTTGCAGACACAACACCTTCATTGTGGCATATCCCTACGTTACGTACGCCACTTCATTCACATACTTTTCTGTTATTGACGTACAAGTACCCATTCTGACGGGGTTATTACTTCTACATCATGTTTACAATTGATCGTAAGTTAAATATTCACTGGAATTTGTGGACTTCATCAATCATCGTTTTGTCAGTTTTACGGGTGGCTAATGCACACATCATACATGTCGATCATAATGCTTTTCGCCACAACAATTTTCATCAACCGCTACCACTGCCCCCAGCAGAGCAACTACCAAGCCATCTGGACTCCGTAAATCTGTCACCAGCGAATCTTATGGCTGATCTTAGCAACGCTTTGGCCTATCGCATCCTTCATTATCATTCGATACTCAACAGGAATAATTTTGCATTTTCTCCCACGGCACTGATGAGTGTGCTTATAGCATTGTACGAGGGTTCAGCAGGACGAAGTGGTTTGGAAATGCGTAACGTACTGTTACTTCCAAATAGTCGTGACGTCATACGCATAGGCTATCGCGATATACATCGCAAATTGCGGGTAAGTAAAAAAGATAAAACCTGTATTCACCATGCTGATGCTTTTTACTACTCGGGTAAAGCCAACAAGCCTAAACGGTCAATTTTAAACCCCAGTTTGTCATCAAGTGCAACCCTGGTTGACTCAGTTGAACTCCCAATCAGTTGTTTTGCACCGCTTGTTTTGGCTGTCTTCTTAAACGCATTAATGCAAAGCATCAGTCTCTTTTATTTCTCAAACATAAGAGATAAAAGTATTGAATTTGCGCAACTTTATTGAAAATTGGTATTTCGTTATGGTTGCGCATATTGGATATTGATATGAGTCATACGTTAGAAATAAAAGAGACTGATGCTTCGCCTTAATGCGTTTAAGAATAAAGCCTTTTTGTTGCAAAAAATAAAGCGACTGAATCTTCTTCTTCCTCACTGTAACCGCTTAAGCGGTTTTGGCCGAGTTCAACAAAGCACGCCAGTCGTTTCTCTTCTGTGCCAACTGACGCCAATTGGAAATGCCAAGTGAATCCAAGTCCTTCTCCACTTGGTATTTTCATCGCAGTGGTGGCCTCCCTCCTCCTCTGCTACCACCTGCGAGTTCCGAGTTGAATACTTTCAGAGCCGGAGCGTCGGAGTCCATTCGAACGACATGGCCAACCCAGCGGAGGCGCTGTATTTTAATTCGCCGCATTATGTCTATGGCGTTGTAAAGCTCATACATTTCATCATTACATCGTGTGCGGTACTCGCCGTGGCCAACGCGTAAAGGCCCGTAAATCTTCCGCAAAATCTTACTCTCGAACAGTGTTGCCAGAACTTTTTGGGCCGACCGGCTAGATTGGCAAAAAAAAGCGGCTAAAAACGGCTAAAATGTTTTAGTGAAAATTCACATGCTTTATTTAAATAAATCGCAAGAAACGAAAGACTAGTTAACACCATTAATTTATATCGAGTGTATATTCCTCATCATCAAATGAATCACTATTGTATATATCACCTGAATTCATTAATTTTAAGAGATCGTCATCTACAGTAAAATTATGGCAGCATTTTTCTTCGCGTTTTAAACCGTATCTTATATATAAAATAGCGTTTAACGTTTTAACGCACATTGGATTTCTTTCCTTAGTTTTTATTATATTCATTGAACTAAATATTCGCTCTACTTCTGCATTACTTATAGGCAAAACAAGAAAACTAAAAACTAGGTTGGAAAGGTCAGCAAAAGGGTTTTCTCCTAGGGCATTTCGAAATTGATAAACTTAAAATTTTACAGTTGAGTCTAAATTACTCCAGGTATGTAACGTTAACCGTTGCCATTGCATCTCTACGGATGTTATTTCGTCGGCATTATATTTGTTTTTGTTGCTGTAGTTGAACAAATACTTTTGGTTTAATTACTCTTAATGCATTTCCAACCGAAAAAAAGTAAATTTTTTTAGTGTGGCAATATTTGAGGGGGGGCGTTGGCGTAATTCCTTTATTAAAGTGATAATAAAATAGCGACCATTTTCTCGAATTATTTTCTCGGCTTCGTGGTCAAAAGCGTTTGTGCTTACTTTTGTTTTTAAATACTCTTCAAAACTGTGATAAAACTGAGGAAATGGAGCAAGGTATGGTTCCAACGGGGAGCATATAGGATCAAATGTGTCCGCGCTAATAACCACTAGGGAGCATAGATGCGAAAGTAAAACATTGAGTTCATTAAAAATCTTCATTGGGTCTGCATTATTGCTTTCGAACAACTTGTTTACTTTTTTACACCTGAAAATTAGGCAAATAGTAAAATCGGCTAAAAACGGCTAACTTTTTTTTACAAACCGGGTAACAAATCGGCTGCCGGCTAGATCGAATTTTCTCCGGCTAGTTGCTATCAAAACCGGCTAAATCTAGCCGGAAAACGGCTAAAATGGCAACGCTGCTCTCGAATACCCCAAGAGCCGCCTCATCGGATATTGTCATTGTCCATGCTTCTGCGCAATATACCAACGGTGGGCAAACGCGGCTCTTTGAGCCAAATCCGGCTCTTTGCTTAGCAAAGTGCGGCTCTTTTTACTTTCTCTTTGCTTTGTACGTTTTGGCTCTTTTAACTTTTCAAAATACAAGCTTCTTTGCTGGACATTCTTTTCCGTTGTATTGTTGTTTTATTTGGTCTTGTTTATATACACATACGCAAATTGAGATCGGAACATGACCCGCAATTGGAGAATGAAAATTGGCTTTCTGACTTAATGTTCTCTACCAAGATAATGGAACATTTGCAAAACTTGAATTTGTCACTGCAATTTGTTTTTGATTTTGATTTGCCGCAAATTATTTTAAGTTTCGAAGCTAAACTACGTTTTTTTATTCATGACCTCAAAAAAAAGAATATTTCATCATTTTCCAGGCTAGAAAAAAATATTGCACATGATTTAAAAGCAGATTTTGAAAAAAAATTTGCCGATTTGAAATTATTTAAATGTACGTTTGCATACGTTATAAACCCTTTTTTATGTAACATAATTGAGGATGAAATAACGATATCCGAAATACTACTTCTTAAGAAAAGCGAAGAGTTGGAGCTTTCGGAATTAAAAGAAGATAAGGCCCTGGAAATGCAACATATACACCCCTATGCTGTAATCCGTCGTAGATTCGATTTTGCTACGAATCGTAAAATTGGTTTGCTGTAATCCGCGTTTTCGTATCGTAATTTCGAAATTCGTAGGCCATCTTCGAAATTCGTAATGTTGGTATGCCTGAATCCGACGTAGCTGTCATTTTTATGTATTTGTCGGAAATTTTGTACGAATAGCCACTCGTGGAGGAGCGAAACAAATTGTTTTATAATATCAATAAAATAAGGAGTGTAAACGCAAAAGTTTGTATGTAAGTTGAAGTGTGAATAGAAAAAAAAAAAATATTATTAAATGTTTATAAAATTATCAGATCGAAGATCACAACAAATGGTTCGCAATACGAAAAACTGGTGGAATGCCTGAACAAAAGGCCGGGCATTGGTCGAGGCTTTGTAAAAGGAGCTAAGAGAATGTGCTAGAATTTTGGGAAATCGTTCCAAGAATTAAAGCAGGTCAATATCTAGTGAAATGGAGGCCCTTAAAAGGAGGGAGCTTACATTTTATCATTTAAGCTAACAGAACAATCTCCTATCAATCTCCTTTGTATATTAATGCAACTGTTAGGTGTTCTTCCTCCTGGGACAAAAGTGCATCGGCCACTGAATCCTTTGTATTCTACTTTTTTTTAGCTGGCAGCGCCGCTGATAGTTACGATCGGATTACAGCATATCAATTTTCGGAACGGAGCTACGAATACTTTGCAATTGCTTGAATAACAAGTACCAGATTGAAAATATCCGCTGTTGCAAACATATGCATGGCGTATATTTTCAATTTTTGGTACAACGTACCCAGAAAAAAATTATATGTGCGATACTCGATCTTCAATTAGCTAAATAAAAACCCAATACTAGATATTTGATGTTTTTTCCCCAATAATTGTATTCATTTACTCTATCAAAAGAATATAAAAATCTTTATAAATACACTAGCAGTCCCGGCTAACTTCGTCCCGCCCAAAATATTTTTTTTGTATTGAAACATTTTGGTCTAACATTTTCACCAACAGTTCACGTTCATGATTTTCAGTGACGCATTTATCTTCTAATATTAGGGTTTGGTGGTTGTCAGAGGGCATATTTCTATTGCCGTCTTAAATAACCTAGCAAAACTGTACCGAAATACAAAGATACGTAATAGTTTCAGTGCGTTTGACAGGTGCCACGCCCCCTTTTCAAATAGCCCCAATTTTCTCTAAGAGTATGGGATTCATTTCATATATCTCTATACCATTTTTGAGTAATCTACCCCCTTTTCCAATAACCGCAATTTTTCTCCATGAGTATGCGCTTGTTTTCATATATCTCTCACCATGTTCGAGTAATCTACCATGACAACTTTCCAAAGTTAAGCAGTACGAAAAATTTGATTTTTTACGATAAACACAATTTTTCTCCATGAGTATGCGATTGCTTTCATATATCTCCATACCATGTTCGAGACCACTTCCATGAATTTTACGAAAAATTCGGTTTGTGTGGGAGGTGCAACGCCCCTTTTTCCAACAACCGCAATTTTTCTCCATGACAATGCAATTGTTTTCATATATCTCCATACCATATGCGAGTAGTCTACCATGAACACTTCCAGAGATATGCAATATGAAAAATTCGGTTTGTATGGGAGGTGCCACGCCCCCTACACCTAGCGGCATGAAATATACTTTACATCCGATTCTCATACCTACCATATATACACAAAAAATTTCATGAGGATCGGTCAAGCCGTTTAGGAAGAGTTCGACCACTAACACCGTCACACGAGATTTGTATATCTACCAAACATTTGTGAAAGTATGTATGTATGTACAGTATCGGTCATATCTATAGCACGCCATTTCAAAGTGATATTGTGTGCCACTTATGTGTATTTATTTATTTTTAAGAATTTTCAATTAAAACATAGTTCATTCTCATACAAACTCCATATATACCTAATATTAACAATTTGTAGAAAACTACAAAAAAGTGCAACAAATTTTCACCTAAATTTCAAACTATTTTCTTGGAAGTATTAGAATTTTTCTGAGTACACAGTTTTATAGCCCAATCAATTTTAGTCTGATAATGTGCAAGTTTTAAGTGGCTAAAAGTTACCGTTGATTTTTTAGAATTTTTTTCTCGCATTGGCTTCAATATAATGAATAATGAACGAAAATGACACTGAAGATGGCACAACGCCGAAACCGGTTTGTCTGCAAACCAAACTTGACAAGGGTTGACGGAAATTCGTTCCAAAATAAATCATAATGAATAAACTCAATTTATTTGTTTATGGAAGAAAACCGCAACACCTTTGGCGGGTATATATGTATAATTGTGTTTGTTGAAAATGGGCGTGGCACATCCCATAGGCGTGGAATTTTTATCAGCTATAACTTCGGAACCATAAGTCCCACACACTT